CCTCATCTGCCCCATGGCCTAACTCTGTGCAATGTGTGTAATGGAGAATTTCTTTGTAATAGCTCAGTGTGGCATAGCAGCAACATTGTCAATAAAAGCACAAACATACAAATATTGCCCTGTGTGTAAGAGTAGCCACAGCCTGTTATTGAAGACAGCATGGCAACCAGACGGTATTAAAATGGTGAAAACTGTGTATTTTCCTACTATAGTAAAATGTCAGATATTCATCTACAAATATGAACTTCTCACACTGGTGTACACTTTCTGTTCCTGCTGGTTCTACGAAAAACACTTATCTTAGGAACCATGTAGTCTGACAATCATTCAGTTTTCTCAGCGCTACACTTGAGGCAAGCGTTTGCCAGTTGCTGGTTTCCATGGATACAAGCTGATCATAATTAGTCTAAGATGCAAGGAGTAAAAAAAAAAAAAAAACAGAAAAGTCTGCAGATGCTTTGATCTGACTGAATAGCAAATGACACAACAATGTTATTGAAAGGGATTGATCAGAACCCAATTGCTTAGCCTAAGGGGTGTTGCAGGGTGGGTTTTGGATTTAATATAACATAAGTGTTTGTGAATCAATAATGCGGGGCAATCCCATGTTATGTGCACGGTGGCATTGAAACTTGCTGACTGGGGGGGCGTGAAGGGTCTGAAAATCTGACACCCAAAAAGCTGTAGAATTTACGTTTTCGAGATGTATTTATAAACTTAGTTAAAAAAATTAAGGTTTCAAGATAAAAGATGATGCAATGACCGTGGGTCCTTGTTAGGGGGCGTTTGGAGGGACGTGGCCCGCAGATTCACGACAGCAAGCCTGCCTCATGGTCATTGCGATGCTCCTCTGGACTTAGATCTGAATTTGGACAGTCTGTGTTCTTTATTCTGCAGATGCATATAACAGGTATATTTGTATGAAAATGCTGCTGATACATCACCGGCAGGGCTGTGTGTATAGAATGTAGCTATCAGCATCACATTAAGATATGTGCGCCTAACTGTGATTTAAGTTATCTGTGAAAACCCTTATATTATTTGCACTCTCCTAACAGGCCAGGCAAGGTGTCTTCATATTTTTGGAAGCAATTTCTTTGATTACTTCTCAGACTGTTAGGAAGTGTGGTGAGATGCTATTTGTGGAATGCAAAGGATTCTGTTTAAAACTTCCAGAACATGCATCTCAATGCACCTTTTGTGACTGGATGTCAGTAGGATAAACAGATCAGATCCTTTTGCAATATAATTGGGGAATTAAATAAACAATGTCACCAAAAATCTCTGCTCCAGCTACTGCGTATTACGGAGCCCCCAAAGGGACATAGGTGATTTAAAAAAATGTACAGTATCTGGTGCGCACCAGATACTAACTGGTGCATACAAGATACGGTAGAAAAATATATAAATCACCTACTGTATGTCCCTTTGGGGGCTCCGTAGCATATATCCCTATATTAGGGATAAAGTAATACCTCAAACTAGTAAGGTGCATAATATATCATTAACATCCGAAATGCATATTGAATTATTCTTCATTGGTAAAGATGAGACCCTCCGAAATTAATATTGCTGGTCCTCCAGCCTCCCAGCATGAATCATCACTACATGAATAGGATGACATTTTGTTTATAAAGGTCAGGACCCATGCGGGGCAAACCTCAGACTGTAATCTCTTTTTAAAGGGAGCCCTCTATGTGGTGCTGGAAAGCAAGGTGCTAATTTAATATAATGAAGGAATCCAGGTCGCATCCAGGGCATAAAGCTCCCGTTCCACCACATCCCAAACATGCTCTATTGGGTTGAGATCTGGTGACTGTGGGGGCCATTGTAGTACAGTGAACTCATTGTCATGTTCAAGAAACCAATTTGAAATGATTCGAGCTTTGTGACATGTCTGGCACCAACAACCATGCCACGCTCAAAATTACTTAAATCACCTTTCTTTCCCATTCT